CAAATTAACCTTAATTCCCAAATGAATTGTTCCAAGAGACTAGATAGCCATTTCGGTGACTAGACGAATTCCAATAATTTAATTTCTGTTTCTTCATTTCTATTTATTCAGATTCGTATCTATAAACAAATTTATATTTTCTCAACTAACCACATGGCCGAATCAACATAGATATCAGCAATTGTTTTTCCCATAAAAATGTCTAACTTTTGTGCCTAATTTATTCATAAAATATTCGTATTGATTTTGCTTACAAAAATAGCAGCAACAAAAACAATTCAATGTCAATATGCTGCTTAGTCGGCATATTTTCTTTTTCTAGTCCATGGAATATTTCGAATAATTTTGTTTCTATTTTGTCTGTGTTGTTTTATACTGTAAGTAAGAGGAAATTCACTGTTTATAGATATTTTTTTACTTTTACTTCTCTTTGTATCGATAATTTAAGATAAACTTTAGTGATTGGAAATGGTATTGTAATAAATTATAGGAATTTTATTTTTACAGCATAAAATTAGCTTTGATTGTGAAAATTATAATTTTAATAATAATTTATGTTTGTCTTATGTTTTATTAAAATATCATATGGTTACTGAACTTGAAAAAAGGTTGTAAAGATGGGCAATTTCATTTAAGGCAACCCCCCCCCCCCCCCCACCACCACATTCTCGATTTTAATTTTTCAAGATTTTCAATGGGCTGGTAAATCAATACCAATGCTTGTTAAGGTTTGTAACTTTGCACATATATAATTGAAGATTTAAAATAGAAGAAAAATAATTTACAAAAAAATGTTGTTGTTGTTGTTGTTTGTAATTAAAGAGAAGTCCTTATTTTTGATGGCGGGCATGATAACTCCTCACTGGAACATCGGAATCCGAAAATTCCAACGGTGTTAGAAAGAGTACATGTCTGGCTCTCGTATGAACTAGGATTATTGACTTCGCTCTAAAATTAACAAAATGGCGGACCTTTGAAAAAATATTTTTGGAAAATCGCCGATTTTTGACCAAAAACCAAGTTAAAAAATAAGGAAGTTATTCACCTAGTTCATACGATAGCTCACAGAGAACCGTGTAAAAATTTGGAATCGATTGGGTTATTAGCTTTGGAGTTATCGTGCCCGCCATTCACAAAAGAGAAAAACGCGTTTAAAGTTTGAGAAGCCCTTTAGCCGTCACTTGATGCTGACACAATAAATCGGCTATATCTTCAAGAGTTCTTAAGATTCACACTTTAAATTTTGTAGGGACATTCTTGAAATAGTGTAGATTCGAATTTAGTCGAAAAAAAACTAACCCGAGAATGGGGGGGGTCCCCTTAATAACTTTGAAAACTTATTAGATTAGTCTATTTCTTCGAATTGTATTCCAAGCTTTCCTTTGAGATGGACAACATTGAATCAAAAACAAATCGACCTCTGTGAGAAAAATTAATTTTGAAAAGTATTTATGTTTGTGTATGAAATTGTACATAATGCTGAGAAAATCTTTCAGAAATTGTTTGTATGGAGGCACTATGGACCAGGAATCCAATTTGGGAAAAAGTAGATTTCAGGTAGAGAACAAAAAACTTTATTTACTGCACATCTGGGAACTTTGAGCTTAAGAGTTATTGCCAATACTTTAAAAATTGTCGTTGGAAATTGCAATGTAACGATTTTATGCTATTTTCGTATTAAATACTGTTAGGAAATAAAATATTTAATTTTTTCTTAAGTGTGATACCCCATTTTCGATTAATTTTATTTTTAAAATCTGGTTTCACATTTGTAATCAGTGGTCATAGTTCTACAAAACGTATACAAGAAATATTTAATTAATTAAATGTTTAAAAAAATTTACTGTCACTTATTTCTTGCAGAATCGTAATCAGCGTCCCCAAACCCCTTATATGTGAAATTTGTTTATTTCATAAATCATCTGCTTTAATTATAACCAGAAAATGGGATTTCTGGCCCATAGTGGGAGGGTATAAAATTGTCTAAAAACAATCCACCGGAAGGCATAGTTGCACGGAGAAAATATTTTCAATTCAAGTGGAGTTTAGAATTTCGGATTTTTGTACCAATTTTCATAAACCGATGAAATATATACCAAAATTACATTAGGCAATTTTACTTGCGACAATTCCTCTATTTCTAAGTCCTGATTTTATTATCGTTCTCTTTTGAACTTGCTTCATGCGTCTATACAAGGCAATTCGGTTTCAAATAAATATTTTTTTTTACATTTTGTGACAATGTTCTGGATTGTTATTTCAAATTACTGACACTACAAACAAAATACACAAAACGAATTGCTAGAAAATTGTCGGTACGGGCAATTTTTTTCAAATTCTATTCCCCTTGCCCCTCTCTCCGGCAAACAAATACTTGCCGCAAGTAAACTCGCCCAATCTAAATTTAGACTAACCTAAAAATTAAAGAATTTAAATTTCCTAATGCCGGCTCAGATGGATACTAAATTAAAAATATCTGCAAAGGTGGCCATTTGATTATTGAATGCTTGTTATGCCTCAGCTTTAAGGGGATCCCATTCTCAGTTTATTTATTTATTTATTTTTTTATTTTTTTGATTAAATGCACTAATTTAAGAATATTCGTAATGTCAAGTGAAAATCTCAACAACTTTTGAAGATATAGCCGATTTATTGTGTCAACATCAAATGATGTCAAGAGTGATTCTCAAACTTTAAATGCATTTTTCTCGAATCTGTGTGTTTACGAATGGTGGATATTATAACTCAAAAACTTATAATGCAATCGGTTCCACATTTTTTTACGTTTCTCTGGGAGTGTATAGCTATAGTATGAACTAGGACAAAGCCAATCGATGAAGATCTTCCTTATTTTTAACATAGTTTGCGCTAAAAAAATTGCGAATTTAAAAAAAATCAAAGTTCCGCCATCTTGTTAATTTTTGAGCGATGTCAATAATCCTAGTTCATTTGAGAGCCATACATGAACTCTTTCTAACACCGTTTGAATTTTTGGATTCCGATGTTCTAGTGAGGAGTTATCATGACCGCCATAAAATCACTCAACAACCTCCCATTTTCGGTATTTTAAAGGTTTTATATGCATTTTCCAAACAATGGATATGCATTTTCCAATTATAGTCACAATTTCGTATTTCTTGTGACTATAATCTCTGTCCGAGTTCATATATTCATAAAATGTATATTGGAATTCGCGGTTATCGTATAAAGAAGACATAGTATCCGCATAAAGAAGTGCTCGTTTTTTTACATATTTTACATCATCCCCTTACAAAACTCCGCTAAATATTTAGTATGTTGAAGTTTCTAGGTAACTTCTTTGTTATTATTTTTATTCCCTAATCATTATTGCTAATAAGTGTATACAACTATTGATTTTAGACCCAAATTTCCTTGGACAAGACTTTTTGCAGTCGATTTACAAATGTCCGTCTTTCTAGCTGTGTATCTGCCTGGGTGATGCTCACGATAACTGTTGAAGCTAGTTACCGATTTTATTCAACTAATTCTCCCAAACCCTTATCAAGTTCGGAGATAGGAAATATTGGTCCACTTATTCTGGTACCTCCCCAACAAAATATCAAAAATACTGAAGTTTTGAATCAAACTAGGTAATGGAAGAAGAAGGTGCTTATTGGTCTACTTCTTGCAGTACCTCCTTCACAAAGTGTCACAATTTTGTTAAATTTGTTAATCCAATATCAAGCGAATGGAGTGTCCGATTTCTTCCAAACTACGAACATCGTAATTTTATAATTGGGTCTCTGATGACGGGACCCATCTTAGCTCCCCCACAAAATGGACAACATTTTATAAACTTGTTAATTTCATATGTAGCCGATTCAATCCATTGATTGTACTACTTGGCACTTTGTAAATGCTGGGTTTTCTAACCTTGGTAGACATTATTTTGGAACTTGCCATCGATTTGTGCGATAATTGGCTATATGGGACCACCATTTCTGGTAAAACCCCGTACAAACTGCACAATTTTAATTATAAGTTTAATAAAAACAATTGCACTGGACAGAAATTCCGTAGACCTTCGCCAACTAAAATAACAAACAGGTACTACAGGTTTTTACAGTTTTTATTTCTGCTGAAACAACATTTATAGTATTTTCATTAGTATTTGTGCTAAGAACAAGAAGAAATAATGACAAATGGTATCTTTCTTTGTATTTTGCCCGTATCCTCACCTATGTAAATACATTATGACATTTTGTCAGATCCTAGCTGCACTACCCATATAAAGTCCATACAGAATTTAGCAATTTTGGATGGAGTAAAAAAGTTCGGCCGATCTTAGCAACGTCTTCACTAGTTGGAGTACGATTGCAGTATTTATGTTACCGTATTTAAGTCTACTTCTAGGAGTCACCCTTTTCTGTCCACAATGACGACGTGGAATTAGATCTGAATCTTCCCCTTTGGCTGGTATCTCTAGTTGAATTACACTGCAGAGATAAGGGCGCTTTGAACATGTTGATTTACAAAAAAGCTACGAAGTACAGTTCTCTTATAAATTGTTCTTCTATAAATAATTGATAAATGTTTATACCGAATTTATTGAAATACATTTGGCCTGTTCACGTAATGCAAGAATCTTCTAATTTTTAGTGTTTTATACGATATTACAATTTAAAAATAGTTATCATAATAAAGAATAGTAGTTACGTACGGAACTTACCAATACTTACAAGCCAACTTTTTTTAACTTAGTGTTTTCTTCATTCAGCCTGATTGCACCCTTTGGTATTGTGTAGTGATCCACTCTATGCCCTAGTTGTTGTTTTATGTACTGTTGAAATCGTCCTCAATGATAACGTGAGTGTATGGTACTTTTTCAACTGTTGTGACGATTGTTCTACAAGTATTTCCAACTCTTCTGTTCGATAATTTGTTTGTTTGAAACCATTGTTGTCAAATATTTTCCCTTTAATTTTTATTTGATTTTCGAACGAATTTTGATTGAAGAATTTTTATTTTTTCTTTTGAAAATGATCGAAATTTTATCATTACCACGAAGACCAAAAGAAACCGCAGTTGATATATCAAAATTGAAATTGAAATCCGGGCTTCCGCTCAACAGTTTACCCGGATGGGAGCAGATTCCCTTGAATTGTAAATTGCCAATGGTAAAATGCCCGGGTAATCAGGTTATATTTTCCATTAATAAAATTGGTCAAACTATCAAAAAGAAAGAGAGGTGAGATAAAGTAAAATATTGCAAATAAAATTGATATTAAAACATATTTTATCAGGCAAGAATTTGATATATCAATCACCGAAAGTCTGTCAGAATATAATCCTCTACAAGATTCCAATTTGCGGGCATTCTATGCCAATGAACGAAATTTGAAACGTCTACGAGAAAATGGAGAAATTACGGAGAATAACGATGTTATTTGCAATCTGAAAGATTTCAATAAATATCGTCAGAAGCTGCATAAGGCCAAGGTGTATTACATACTGCAGGAAATGAATCGTATGGTGAGATTTGAAATTATTATGACAAAGGGATTAATATGTGTGATATGTATACGGGTCCTCGTTTTGGAGTAGCCACTATAATTATACCGCCACATTTGGGGCATTGAACGGAAATACATGTTCAAAACGGAACGGAAATGTAAAATATGTCCATATTTTGACAATCAATTCAAAGGGTTCCGTTCTATTCTAAGTCTTTTTATACCCTCCACTATAGTATGGAGGGATATTAATTTTGTCATTACGTTTGTAACTCATCGAAATATTCATTTCCGACCTTATAAAGCATAGATTTTCTTGATAAAATTCTAAGACGATCTAGCCATGTCCGTCTGAAATTTTGTACAGGGTTGTCTTTTGTCTGCCGGTAGGCCAAGTTCGAAGATGGATATATCGGTCTACCTTTATTTTGTATTTGGTATTTTGTAGTCGTATGTGGTAACAAATCCCCCTACCAACAATTATTAATATTCGCCACCCCTTTTTGGGGTATTCCCCATATAACCCCCCTTTTTTATTAAGATAATTCTGCGTTTTGGGTTTGGTTCTAAGACTCTGTTTTAATCATTTCACCTGTGGAGGATATCGCGATAAAAAACTAGAAAGTAAGGTTCCATAATTAACTATATATGAACTATACGGGTCCAAGATTTGGAGTAGCCACTATAATTATACCGCCACATTTGGGACATTGAACGGAAATATATGTTCAAAACGGAACGGAAATGTAAAATATGTCCATATTTTGACAATCAATTCAAAGGGTTCCGTTCTATTCTAAGTCTTTTTATACCCTCCACTATAGTATGGAGGGTATATTAATTTTGTCATTATGTTTGTAACTCTTCGAAATATTCGTTTTCGACCTTATAAAGCATATATTTTCTTGATAAATATCTAAGACGATCTAGCCATGTCCGTCTGAAATTTTGTACAGGGTTGTCTTTTGTCTGCGGTAGGCCAAGTTCGAAGATGGATATATCGGTCTACGTTTATTTTGTATTTGGTATTTTGTAGTCGTATATGGTAACAAATCCCCCTACCAACAATTATTAATATTCGCCACCCCTTTTTGGGGTATTCCCCATATAACCCCCCTTTTTTATTAAGATAATTCTGCGTTTTGGGTTTGGTTCTAAGACTCTGTTGTAATCATTTCACCTGTGGAGGATATCGCGATAAAAAACTAGAAAGTAAGGTTCCATAATTAACTATATATGAACTATAGCCCGCATTTAGGCCTAGCCCTAGCCCCTATGTGATATTCCCCATCTTCGAACTTGAACTAAGTTTGGAAGAAATAATACAAATTTGGTGTACATTATGGTTTACATAATCGGTTTGAACGAATGTCAGTATAGGTCCACTTTTTGGTATGTTCCCTATATTTTCATTTCAAGTACCTTTCTATATATCTATAGTGGAGGGTATCAAAAGTTTGAACCGGGCGCTTTTTCACTTGTTTAAGATCATTTTAGCCTTTTCTGTCAACCATAATTGTGCTCCGCACTAGTCCCCCATTAATTCGATGTTTTGAGTTCTGAGAGTATAAAATAGCTACTCGATTGTTTATTTAGGTCCATGATAGGACCTTTTTTTAGATATGTGGAAGGTCCTATTCATATTTTCCAATCGAATTCGACGCAATTTCACATTTTGAATTCTCATTTAAAAATCAAAATATAAGTTCAAATTTTTATACGGCGGATATTAATTTTTAAAGGACCCTTCTGATTTTAAATACATAGTGGTCCTTGCTGTATTTTCCAACCGAAGTAGCTTTAACTTGACAGCTAAAGTTCGGAGGCTTTGCCTTTGTCGAAAAGTGTCCAAATAGATCACATAATACAGATTCGAAATTTTTATATAGGCGTTGACTTATCCCCCAAACATTTGGGCTCTTCGCAGTTTTTGATATGTTTCAATTGTTTGGTTTCTCATCGTGAAGGATGTAAAAATTTGGACCTGCCGATCTTACAGTAATAGTGAAATACCCTATTTTTCACTTTTCTAGGATTTAGAACATCGTGATCGGGTTCTTATCAACAATGCCGAATACATAACCAGTTGTGATCATGGCAATTTGGCAGCTCGGCAACACAGCTATAACGAAGTTTTACAACGCAAAAACAATGCGGATCACGAGCGTTGGGAACGTTTCAAAAAACTATGGGCATCCAAAGTTTCGAAAATTAATTATATTAAAGCAACAAAAACAATGGCATACACAACCATGGAACATCAAAAACTTCTACGCCACCTCAGTATGAAAAGGCATTGGGATCAATGCAATGACATTCAACGGAAAAAATTAATTAAATTCAAAAAACTGATACAATTTAAAAGTGATCGTTTCTATAAGAATTTGAAACGTTTAAAGGCGGCGCGAACCCAACAGAGTGGTGAAAAGGAAATGGACTCATGGAAACAACGGTTGGCAGAACGTGTACGCAATCAAGAGAAAATTCGTGCAATTCTAACGGAAATTGAAGATCAAAAGAAAGCCTACATTGAGGAACATAAAAAGAAATATAAGGAGAAGTGGATGCTGATACAAAAGGAAATAAAAAATCGAGCTATGCATAATCGAAGGAAATTGAAAAAGACAATTGACCAAAAACAGAATTCCAACAATAAAACACCATGTCCAAAACTCAACACAAATCCCTCGTACTGTGCTGAATTTCAGTCAAGCTTTGATAAACTAATTGACAAAGATGTTTGCAAAGCTCTAAATGCCGCTTTGGACATAGAGGCCAACCTGCAGGTACCATTTGAGGCCAATGATCCGATTTATAAAGCCGCCCAATTTATTATGCAACATATTCTAAAGAAGTTGAATAAGGATTTGTCGAGTGACAAAGAGGCATCCGAAAGTCTTTGCTGTCGTATTGAGGCATTTTTCGAGGAGGTCAAGAAATTTGTTATATTTGTAAGCTTTGGATTTTCTTTTTTTCGGAAATGTAATATAAATCATTTTTCCTTTAGAGATCAACCCAAATTATTTCTGCCATACGCAAGGCCATCAATGAAGGTCAGTGTCCAAAGGCTAGTGTATTGGGTAGCGAGTCTATGTCTAGACCATTTCTTAAACGCACATCTGGTGGCCGCGTTTCTTTTAATAATACTTCCAGTACGATTGGTATCTCCAGTTATGAAATACATCCTCTAATTGAAGTGAAGGAGGTTGGTGATCGTAGACCAACACCAGCTGTGAGTATTAGTCATATACCGAAAGTAGTATTAGTCGTATACCCAAAGTCTAATGGCGAATGAGGTTATATGCACTTTGATTGACAAGGTTATTAGTTTTAGAGCCTAAGATCCATTGGAACAAATCCGTTTCATAAAGTATGAAATTTATTTTCAAATGTCCGTCTGTCTGGTGCCACTCATTCCACCCCACTCATTGTGGTGTCTCCCCGTCTCCCCACAAATAGCTTAATATTAGGTTGGCCAAAAAGAAATCCTTTTTTTTCGGCAGATGACTGTACTGATAGATTTCTCGTAAAGTATCGATCAAACAATTTCTGATTTATGCTGGTTGGAAGGGTGACATTTCGCACAAAAAAAAATATTTTCCTGTGTTTTTTTTTGGTGATTTCAGTTGTAATTTAGTGAACAGAAAGAAAATTCGGCACATTTTACTGTTTTTATTTGACCAAGTCGAAAATGCAAGCCAAACGGCTAAGATTTTGAACAATGTTTATGGTTCCGATACTGTAACAGCCAATTATGTGCAATTGTGGTTTCGTAGATTCCGTTAAAGAATTTTAGGTCTTAAAGATGCACCTCACACAGGTAGACCGAAAATGTCAAAAAAAAAAAAATGGAGAAATGATCGCAGTTGACCAGCATGTTAGCAGTCATAACATCGCCTAGTAGCTAAAAATCGACCATAAAACTGTTTCAAAATATTTACAATTGACCAGAAACGGCCAGAATTGGACAGGAGAGGTAGGTGTCGTCTTCCACCAGGACACACAAAGGACGAACGATTTAAAAATTGGTGTAAATCGGTTCAGATTTGAATATAGCTAAGATATATATTGTCCGATTTTCTCTAAATGGTACACCAAATCCCGGATATTTCTTTAAATTTGCTTGGAATTTGTCATAGCGTGCGGAATTGGGTCTCTAATGATGTGTGCTCCGTTTCGTGCAAATTGGTTCAGATTTAGATATAGCGCACATATATATTTTCGTCACATTTTATGTGAATGGTGCATTAAAGTTGCTATGTATCTTTCGATTTGCACAAAATTTGACATTGCGATGGGTCTAAAATGATTGATTGAATTGAGTCTAGAATTATGTTTGCTAAGTTAGTAAAAATCGGTTCTGATTAGGTATACCTCCCTATTTTATGTAAATTGTGCAATAAAGACTCAAAGCTACGCCTATTGACACAATATTTTGCAAAACGTACTGAAGTTAATATAAATTCATCTCTGGGAAGTTTCTGGAATCGGTCCAGATTTAGATATTGCTCCAATATACATTTTCCTCTGATTTTAGGCATATGGGGCGCCAAACTCTTTATGTTTATCCATTCGACACGAACTTTTGCACAACGTATTAAATTGAGAATACGTGAAATTGGTGCAGATGCAGACATAGCATTTGACCGACTTCATGTTAATTGTGCACCAAATAATCATCTGATTGAGACTCAATTTTAAACAGTGCAGCATAACGAAACATGGTTAGAACCCATAATTTAGATGACTCACATTTTTGCAGTAGCAAAGTTTATATACCCTTTTTATCCATAAGGCTATGGGAATATAATTTTTTTAATTTTCGCCCTGGTGTTCTGAAGAGAATCTCTAAAAACATTCCATCCAAAAAAAAAAACCCCTGAGGAATAGTGGACCCATGTTGAAATATTTTCCCGATAAGGTAATTTCTTACCGTGTTTTCCCAATCTGTAAAACACTTCTGGAATGCTTGTTTATTTTTATAAGTTTTTTAGCCAACAGGGTAAGTCCACTGAATAAGGTTTTTGAGGAATGACAACGATGAACCGAGGACGGACAATATACCGGTTTTCTATCGTGATGCAAACTCTATGCTTGATTGATTCTATGCAGTACAAAATAACTGTAATAAAAATCTTCACATTTGACCTAACTTGACGATCTTGGCTCATCTGGACATTTTCATTGGGATGATTTGGATTTAGTGTCGATGTCATAGCCATACAACCATAATTCGTCATTAGTTTTGACCTTTTTGAGGTAATCTGCTTATGGCACATACGCTTGTATCCAATATTTTCATTTGTGAGGATGTTAAAAACGACAAATGTCATTCCATCAATTCGACTGGTGAAATGAGCAAGTCATGTTAATTTAGAAATATGCCAGCTGTTCATGACGATATTGCATTATAAGTTCACTCTCGGCATCCGTATTCTCGACAACCTTCGCTCTGGCGCAGCGTCGCTGACGATTGAATTTATTACACCATTTTTTTTTTTTCTCAGAAAAACCCTTACTGTTTCATTTTATCTGTCCTTTTTGTAGAATGCGTAAAAAATATATTGGGAATATCGTTATAACTTGTGAAAATCTCTTTCGGATATTTTATGCGACAAAATATCTGAAATATTTGTAATTTGAATTTCTGAGTATTATCGGAATATTTTTCAGAAAATTGGGACAATTCCGGATTATTGATCTGGTGTTAACAAATATGTAAGAATATTTAAAAATCCAGGTGTTCTGCAGATTTATACGAAATTCCAAAATAATTCTGATGTTTGAAATCCATTCCTCACTTTTCGATTGCAATTTTTTGGATTGCAATTTTGCATTCCGGATACTTGAAGAGTCCCTCCCACTTTGCGTAATTTGATTATAATAAGATCATCTTCTAACCTTAGGGCTACAATATAATATAAGGATTCCGACCCCATATAAGGTATTATTACTGTCCAATGTGCATATTCCAACTAACTTAACATACAGATTTATTCGTGTATACTCACATTATTCGAAGAAAATTAATGTGACATAGCCCAACATTAGAATATCGGCAAATTTTCGGTATGCTAATATTTCTAGCTCAAATCTCGAACTTAATACCTTTAGTTTGGTATTTTGTTCATTCAGATAGTAGACAACGTAGGGGAAGACACTTTAAAATGTAGCCGTATATTAGAGTCATGTTGTGGATGTTGAAAAAATATCGGTCGACCGAACATTACGACATTTCAGCTTATTTCAATATAAACACGTTTTTTACAAAGCCAGTCTTATTTTACAAGCGTAGTGGGACTGCCTGACGTCTGAGCTGTATGGTTTAATGTGGGAAAAAAAAATTATGAACCAAAAAATACTTTATAAAATATACGTGGTTTTTTCCTAATCGACTTATGTTATTTTAAACAGCAGTCCTACATAGAAAAAATAATTCGTACATACCAGATATTACGAAAAGTGGAATCAAATTTAATCGGCTTTATAGATTTACGCTTCTTGGTGTCATTACTATTTGGAATTTAATTGAATTTCGAAATTTGCACATAGCAAATCATAACGTCTAAAAAGAAAAATGTTTTTAGAGTGTTGATTATTTCCCCCATCAGATTTTCACAACAAATCTATACTAATAACTCATTCTATATTTCTCTATTTCTTTTCGATGTCCTCCTTAAAATGATAATAAGAAATTATCAACAGAAATTATTTATTTATATGTCATTACCTTTTTGCAGGGTTCCTTGGCCTCCATTGTGGTAGATTCAACAACCAGTCTGCTGGAGAAGACACACACCAGTCACCTGTGTCGCAATGAATTGGTATTTATTGAACATTATTTGACGAAATTCAAACGTGATTTATTAGTCGGTATCGGTCGTCGTGTATTTGCTGCGATTCAATGTCATTTTGAGCACAAAATTATGAATGTTCGACAGGAGCTATTGGGTAAGTAACTGTCAACAATTAGTTATGTTATCAATAATTATATTCATGATTATTTTCGATATAGATGTTGATCTTAAATTTTTGATAAAACAATCAACAAAATCTATCCTAAGATATGCCATAAATCCCCTCGATTTTGAATCGAATTTACGTCTTTGTATTAGTGCGATTTCAAGTGATATTATTTGGTCATTGCAAAAGGTTTTACTGAAAATGCCCACCGATCCAAGGCGTCCCATTAAGCCGCGAGCAAATTGTCAATGTATGCGCGATAAGGAGATGTTTTAATGGGAGAATATTGTTATAATTGTTGTTTTGGAAATTAGTAATAAATGAAATAAATGCCTTTAGTATTTAAATGAAATTCGAATAGACATATTTTGCGAATCCCTTTTTACAGATCTTTCCAAAAAAGGGAATTATTTGGTCATTAAAACAAAAACCTGTAAGGAAAGTAGTAAAGTCACCACTTTCGGTATATTCAACAGATGGAATCGTAACAGACGTCGCATTTTTGAAGGACCATTAACATGAAACTAAACATGTCATTCTGCAACCTATACTAAATTTTGGTCAGATATAGAGTTGCTTCTTAAAATGGGACAAAATTATATAAATAATTTTAAAGCAAAATATCGAAATCTAAACCGATTTCATCGAAACTTGTCACATGTTAGGTTACACTTATATCCGTATGTTTTGAACATTCGGCACTATTTTGAGTTCTTCATTTACTTATAAATCCAAACTTCGTGCAAATCGAAGGATATATAGAGACTTTGGTGCACCATTTACATAAAATTGGACGAAAATATATATTGGAACTATATCTAAATCTAAACCGATTTTCACGAAATTTAACACACCTCTTTCTAGACTTAATTCAGTACTCTGTGCCAAATTTCGTGCAAATCGGAAGATATTTTGGGACTGTGGTACCTCATTTACCTTAAATCGGACGAAAATATATATGGGAGCTATATCTAAATCTGAACCGATTTTTCCCAATTTCAATAGGGTTCGTCTTTGGGCCAAACAAATGAACTATGCCAAATTTCATCAGACGGACGGACGGACGGACTTAGAAAGTGATTCTATGCATATTCTCAAAAGGAACCATGGGTCTATCTCGATTATTTTTGCCTGTTACAAACATATGCACAAAGACATAATACCCTGTACCACAGTGTGGTGAAGGGTATAAAAAAAACAAAATTGACGCACCTTTTACTGTTGGATGGAGTTCATATTGAGTTTGCAACTCATCGATCGGAACACGTTTTGATATAGGCCTTTTTTAAACAGTACCTGCATTTTTCTGTATTTTAAATGTTGATAGGATGTTTTCAACGGCTAAGTGAACGTGTTTTTTTCCTTACCTCAGTAAATTTTCCGAAAAAAAAACTTGTTTCTATAGTAGTAGTAAAGTAGTAAAGTCGGACTAGGCCATCTATACATCTTAACAATTTCATGTCAATGTTCCACATGCCTTTCTGCAATGTCTCAATATCAAACGTTGTGCAAAATTTCGTGTCAATGGGACCAACCTTAAATTTTAATGCACCATTTAACTATAATCGGACGAAAATATATATGGGGGATATATCTAAGTCTGAACCAATTTTCACGAAACTTAACACACATCATTTTAGACGTTATTCAGTGCGCTATACCATATTTCATGCAAATCAAAAGATATATAGGGATTTTAGTGCACAATTTTCATCAAATCGGACGAAAATATATATGGGAGCTATATCTAAATCTGAACCGATTTTTTTCCAATTTCGATAGGGTTGTCTTTGGGCCACATAAATGAGCTATACCAAATTTCATCCAATTCGGATAATAAAAGCGACCTTTGTTTACAATTTAACAGACGGACGGACGGACATACATCGACTCAGAAAGTAATTCTATGCATATTCTCAAAATGAACCATGGGTCCATCTCGTTTCCTTTTGCCTGTTACAAACATATGCACAAAGACAATACCCTGTACCACAGTGTGGTGAAGGGTATAAATGTCAATTCTGGTAGCAAAAGTCTGTATACCTATTATACAGTATAGTATTTTTTTAACAAGCAATAAAGTAACTAATATAAACCTGATTATGTTTTCCTTACCATGTTAAAATAAATGATCATATTGCGTGTCGGAGTTTTCTTTAATGCCTAATCAGAGACTAAAAACTAATACCTATGTGTATATACATTTATCGCCGATTAATAATCTATGTGGCTCTGAGGATACTTTTCGTTATAGCATTCTTGTCTATAATACGTGTCAAATCAATCCATGAAAATGAAACTCAAGAATGTCCAAACAAGTTTCCGTTAATATCACCAAGACACGCAAACTTCAACTAAGTAATTTGCAGTCAACACTCTTGATAAGAAGACATTTTTGGTAAGCTGAAAATGAATGTGTTGTTAGCCCTAATTGAGTTATAAATTAGACAACTTTATACTATGTTGGTCTACATTTTACTTATTATGTGTGAACTTTAATAATGATAATAATATTAATTAGTTGCTTTAAGGAGAGGAATGATATTAATTAATGTGCTCTTGGTAATGATAACCAAATGTAATATAGTAGTAGTACACCACTGCGTATGAGTATCATGTTAACTTGGCTTACCATAATAAGTATACGCGTTGATGACCACTATATTGGCAACATTTGATTCATATATTAATTATTGTCTTTTAGAATTTAGTAACTTTGTGGGAATATGTTTGTTTCAAATTGCTTAATGCACACTTTAAAAATATGCCACCACTTGGTTGGTTAAAAAATTAAACTTTTTATACCCTACCCAACTATGTTGTCAGGGTATTCTAGCTTTGTGCGGCCCCAAAAGTTTGTAACGCCGCGAAATATTGGTCCTAGACCCACCTTTATGTATACTGATCGTCATATCTCGACTAGCTGAGTCGATCTAGACATGTGTGTCCGTCCGTCCATTATAATTTGTAAACACGATACAGGCCACAGTTATGGACCAATCCTCACGAAATTTTGCATGTAGGATGGGTTCTGGTCAATGAAGACACCTATTGCCACCAAATACTTAATTTTTGTCGGTTTTTCTGGTCGTTCCAGAGGCCGCAGCTATGGTCCGAACATATATAGAGAAGGGGATCGGGCCAAAGAATAAGCATGCCTGTTTTGATAAAGATCGGACAATATTTAGCGGGTCAAATAGACCCAGACTTTTGTGTGAAAAGTTACAAAATTTGTATTCTATGGCATATATATTTGCCCCTGAAGGACATAGATCCGAGAAGTTGACAGTATATTTAAGAGGAGTGGTTGACCTTAAAATTTATATCAATTATATTGTCATATGTACTCAGATGTGGGATCTGCACTAAAATATTTACAGGTGCTTACGTATTTAGATATCATTTATTAACCCATTACCACACTAGAGGGCGGTAATATAGCACTGATCGCTTTGAAATGCTCCATGGGGTTTCATTTATGGTAAAGGCCAACGCCTATAATTTTCGGTGATGATCAGAAAATAATTTGGGATAAGGTGGACCGAAAACTAAATTTTTTTTCGAGTCGATATATCGATACACAACCTACGGTGTCATTCTATGTACCGAATATTATAACTATTCGGAAAATATGTCAGTGCAAATATTACGAAATATTGCCCAGGCTCGGAAATCCCGTGGTAGTTGTGTAGGGTATCGTATGGTCGGCCCTGTTCGACTATTCTGCTCTCCTCACTGGTTTTTATTTTCCAAATATTTTAAATTTAACAATAAAAATAACCATTAACACATAAAATAAAATATCTATTGTGTTACCATACAACATGATATTATTTCCTCTAACTTTAAAAACTAAAAATAATAACAATATATTTTGCTTTCAAATCCGTCCAACTTTTTTAAAACTGTGCGATGTAAAATTTGAGACAAATTTCCACTATACATAAACATATCGAATGCAGCAGTGTTGAAATGTGGATATTATAACCAGGATGGTTAGTATAAATTTGGGCTATTGTTTGATGCAAGAAAAATATTAAGTCGTACTATATATAATGAGTAGAGCCAAAACTCTGAAAGTTGGTGTCAGAACCACGTTGGTGTGAAATTGTACTGAAGTACTATAAGAAGTGGGAGGATGGACGGAACTAGGCTTTGAAATGAAGAATTATAAAGTGGTTTATATTTGGGTTGAAGCCAACGTAATCGCCTCAACTCGATCCGTCTGACTATGTCGATGTCCGAGAATAGATGGTATAGCTCATGGTTCATTCGACGACGATATTCACCGTCTGTCTGTTGGTCAACAATATTCTCCTCCGAGCTTTAAAGTTGATGTCATTAGTTTTGGTTCAGGTGGGGCTAAGGTATATAAAATCGTTCACTACTTCGAAGATGTAGTTCCCAAGTTTCACAGTTGCACGTTGATACCATCAGGTTGGTCTTCTCGCCATTTACTGCCTGTCCCACTTTGGCAGACTTCTTCTCAATTCGTTCAAAGGTGGCTGTTACCGCTCACAATGTTCGATTCATTATGTCGTCGGCGTAGGCGAGTAACATCTACTGTTTGGTGTCCAGAGTGTCATTTCTGTTCACATTTGCATCTCGTATAATCTTTTCCAGCAGGATGTTAAACAGGTCACACGACAAACTGTCACCTTGTCTGAATCCTCGTTCGGTATTGAAGGGCTGGGAGAGGTCCTTTCCGACTATAACTGCAGCCTTTGTGCCTGTTAATGTTATTCTGCTTAGTCGTATAATCTTTTCCAGCAGGATGTTAAACAGGTCACACGACAAACTGTCACCTTGTCTGAATCCTCGTTCGGTATTGAAGGGCTCGGAGAGGTCCTTTCCGACTATAACTGCCGCCTTTGTGCCAATTAAAGTTATTCTGCATAGTCGTATTAATTTTGCAGGAATACCGAACGCAGACATGGCTTTATATACTTCTGAAGGGATAGGGCTGTCACATGCTACTTTATAGTCGACGAATAGGTGAAATGTGTCGATGTGTGTTTCGTGGATCTTTTCCAGGATCTGGCGCAGAGTGAAAATTTGGTCAATGTTGGATTTGCCCGGCCTGGTATGGTCCAATAATGTCATTGATCATTGGCTTCCGTTGTTAACATAGCACGCTGGATAGGTCCTTATATGCGATAGAAAAGAGACTTGTTCCTCTATAGTTGTCAGATATCGTCCTGTCTCCATTTTTGTGCGCAGGACACATTGGGCATGCATTCCTCTAGCCAATCTGTGCAAATCAGCTAGTGCATGCT